GAACCACGGTCGACTACATGGGAGTCCAGCGACATAGCTATTACGCTAACTGCTGGTCCTCTATTTGTAACACATTTTAGAAATACTAGATCCTATCCCACAGAATCTAGTTAAAACGCCCTATACAGATGTATCAAATTCTTACAAACAGGACTCCAGTCTACCCTTCGAAGCTCCCCTTTCCCGCCATTCCTCCTCCATACACACACACACAAATAGATCAGTGCTAACTCAACTCTGCCCTTCACTGAAAATTCCATGTTCTTCCCCGTTTCAGTACCTCTACACAAACTGTTCCCTTTGCTTTGTTTCTTGTTTGTCTTAGTCTCTAAATTCTACAGTTAGTGGGGGCAGGACGCAATCATATCCAACTGTCCCATAGCTCCACTGTACCCTCCAACCACATGAACCAGGCCTGGACTGTTCTGAATTCTGTGTTAAATAGCAGGACATCAGTGCATTCATGTGGACTCGATGCTCAAAACATTTCCCTATAGAGGTACATCATTAGACATTTGTCCAAACCCACAGAATGTCTAATATCCAGAGTGAACCCTGACGTATACTATGGGCTTCTAGTGCTAATGTGTCAATGCAGGTTCATTGGCAATAACCAACGTACCACCCTGTGGGGGATGCTGAGTGTGGGGACACTGGGCACATGTGAGGGCATGGGGTATGAGGGATGTCTCTGCACCCTCCTTTCACTTTTGCTATGAATCTAAAATTGCCCTCAAACTCTAAAGTCTTTAAGAACAAATTCTATTTTAAAGCTCTCTAATAAAATTAAATGGCAAAGCCAACTATACAGATTAAAATTAAATGTAAAACAATTGAAGGGGCCAGCATATGAAGTAGCACTTACATTGCTGGACTCCCACATGGCTGACTGTGGTTCGAGTACCAGACTCGGTGGCTTGAAAATCATGCCAGGCCCATGTGTGTGTATGCCCAAGATCCCCGAGAAGAATGTGGAGGGACTGAGGTGTATCTATAGCCCCTGAGGAGTGATTTCTCACTTCCCTCTCACTGCCTGTTCTCTCTCTAGCGAGGATATGCATCCTAAGGCAAAAACCTCTTTAGAAAAAAAAAAAATTGAGATCTATCATATATCCTTTTCCTAATATAATGAAAAAAAAAATTGAGATCTATCATACATCCTTTTCCTAATATAAAGCTACCATAAAATTTAGGAGACATCTAAGCCACCGTCTATTGGCAAAGCCAAATACCCACAGCCATCTGGTTTCCAAGTCATGATAAGGACTACATGTTGTGTTACATTTTACATGGAGTTTCACCTCCTCTAAAGCACCACCTGCTTCATTTAGAAAATGACCTAGAAACAGTGTCCAGGTGTGTGGGGTAGACCAGGTGCTTCCCTTTCCCACTTGTGCTTGGGGCAGAGGGTGCATTCCTCCTGGAGGTGTGTATGTACAGATGAAGAACGAAGGATTGGATTACTCTAACTTATCCTTTAATTCAAGAGTATGCATAGGATTGATTCATAGAAGGTCACACCTTCAATGTTCTCTGTCACAGAATGACAGCGTCAAATTCAAAAAGAAAGTGATTTGCTCTCATGTGGATACAGTCATTGAGGGCATGTCAAAATAAAGCCAGCAATAAATGCAAACCCCACCTTAGCACTGGAACATCAATCACACCATAACGCAGGCTTGGCATTAGGATCTGGATTCCATGGCTTTATCCTCTGGGACAATGCAGTTGGAGGATAATCCCAGGTTGACCTCTGCCCTCTCACTGAGAGAAACAACAATCTGCTGAAAGTCATCATTGCCATCCACATCTCCAGACACCCCTTGCCTTTCACCATACACTTCAGCTCTACCCTGTGATTCAGAGATGCTTTTTCAACCCGAGAATGGTGGCTGCTCGTTTACATCGTTGGATCTTTGAAACTCCTCCGGTCTCCTGCGCTAAAGATGCGCTTGCCTTCTTTTCTAGCTGCTGAACTTCTACGTATCCTTCCAGTTCCATTTCAAAGAATGAAGGCCCTGTTCCTTCTCTCTAATGCCTTCTCTTCCCGTGGCAGAGGGGCAGCACTCGATGGGTCTGAACGTGCACTGCGCAATTCTAAGGAGAGCCACTGCCTGTGGGGCATGTCGCTGCATTCTATTTTAGCACAAATCACATGCAATTTTCACATGCATTGGGTTGTTGGGAAAGTCATAACGCATTTTTGCATAGAAAAACATACAACAGAAAAATACATCATTCCTGAAAACCTAATATTTAAATGCTAGATTCCTCTATTGTTAGGTGTACGTGTGCTGTTAGGTGTATGTCTTTTTCTTAAGACTTCTGCTATAGGGCACATGCGCTCACTGAAGAGACAGAGAGATAGAAAGCAAGAAATCACCCCTCAGGGGGCATGGTCATACCACAATCCCTTCTCCTCCACCCTACTCTCGGGATTTTAGGCACACGCACACACATGTCCAACATGAGTTTTAAGCTGCTGGGTTCAGGACTTGAACCAGGGTTGACTACATGGGAGTCCAGCGACGTAACTATTACACCATCTGCTGGTCGCAGGTGTATGTCTTGAAGACAAAATGATTACTTATCTTCATTTCACCAAGTCCTAGAACAGTACTTAGCACCAAGTTATTATGGTTACTCAATATTTTCCTTAATGAAAATTTATTTTTCAAGACCTTAATTTGAATTAAAAATTATTACTTAAATTATAAATTACTCAAAACTGCACTAAATGCTTTCCAGGGTCTCTAATTTCATATTTATGAGCTCCCTATTACTTAAGCATCCTTTTTCCCATTTCATAGGTGAAAAAATGATGTCAGAGAGGTTCAGTAATACTCAATATTTTCCTTAATGAAAATTTATTTTTCAAGACCTTAATTTGAATTAAAAATTATTACTTAAATTATAAATTACTCAAAACTGCACTAAATGCTTTCCAGGGTCTCTAATTTCATATTTATGAGCTCCCTATTACTTAAGCATCCTTTTTCCCATTTCATAGGTGAAAAAATGATGTCAGAGAGGTTCAGTAACTTTTTTGAGAGATTTTTGTTATAGGGTGCATGTGCTTGTCAGATAGACAGAGAGATAGAAAGCAAGAAATTGCCCCCCAGCAGTTAGTGTAATGGCTATGTCACTGGACTCCCATGTAGTTGACCGCGGTTCGCGTCCCGGACATGGTGGTTTAAAACCCACACCGGGCACGTGTGTGTGCGTGCCCAAGATCCCGAGAGGAGAATGGAGGAGAAGGGACTGCAGTGTGGCCATCCTCCCTGGGGGGTGACTTCTCGCTTTCTGTCTCTCTTGTCTGTCTGGCGAGCACATGCACCCTATAGCAAAAACCTCTCAAAAAAAAGAAAAAAGAAAAAAAAGAAAAAAAAATTGCCCCCCAAAGGAGATGGCCACACTACAATCCATTCTTCTCCATTCTTTGCTCGGGATCTTAGGCACACACACACACAAGCCAGGCACGAGTTTTAAGCCGCCAGGTCCAGGACTCAAACCACTGCAAATACATGGGAGTCTAGTGCTGTAACCATTATGCCATCTGCTGGCCCCACCACTGTATATCTTATTAAATGGTCCATAATTACATTTTCTGCAAGAATTCAAGAAAATTCCTTGTTTAAGCCATCTCTCGTATTAAGTTTTTCATGTGTATGCACATAAATGTGTTTAAAGATATAAACCCTAATGTTCTAACATGCAAAAATGAGTCAGCTACCTGACAATCAACAAGGTCAGAACATTTCCTGTGGTTATTCGGTCATGCCAGCTACCATGCTACATGTATCTTTCATCCAGGGTCATCTCTTGCATAGGAAAATAAACTACAAGGGAAGACCTGCTGGCTGAAATCGAAGTATGAATGCAAAGAACATCAGAAGACACAAGTTCCCCAGGTGAGCCAGGCCCCAGAGAATAAAGCAGCCTGTGGAGGACACCAGGGGAAGACCTTCTGAGACCCCAATTCTTCTGTGCAGCTGAAGAGTGACCACTATGATCACGTCTCACACACAAAAGAAAAATACATCATTCCTGACAACCTAACATTTAAATGCCAGATTCCCTACTGTTAGGCATATGTCTTTTTTAAAAAAAAAAAAGATCTTTTAGCTCAGTGCTTGTCACCTGAGATGAGGGACAATGCTGCCCTTGACCCTAGGAGAGCCAGGATAATTACACAGCTCTTCCTTATCCTAGGGAGTATTTGAATCTCAAGGGTGTGGGATGCAGCACTGGCAAGCAATCAGCCAATATGTGACGTGGGTCTCGAGATGCTTACATGTGGACTTCTCACAGAAGTCTCTTGTCCTGAATGTAAGGCTGAAAAAAGCTGGGCTTGCTTTCCACACGGGACGTACTGCACTAAGGGTCTCTTGTAAAGAGGGAGCATGTGACCGTCTAAGCATCGACCGGGACTTGCTTAGCGCCCAAAGCGACTTCACAGATAAAGAAAACAAGGCCATGAGGAATCTGAAAAGGAACAAAACCCCTATTTCACAAGCTCCCACAAAAAGTCTCCCTGGTCACACTCACCATACGCACTTTAAATGCCTTCCTCATCTTTTCTTTGTGAAGGAGAAAATATAGAAACAAACAAACAAAAGCAGCTGCATCCATCCATATGTGGGTGTTTTCTCCTTGCCGGATTCCAAAATACCAGCGACCCACTCGACTGTTTTAAAGAGAGAAAACATCTCGGAGGGGAAAGTCATTTTCAACTCTCCCAAAACCTCCTCACCAGCCGAAACAAAAAGGAACCCACCACCCCATGCAAGCCCTCGGTGGTGTCCTTGCTTCCTGCAACATCAGCGCATGCCTTCTGCTCCACTGCAGGCTGCTAAGATCACGCCATACTGAGAACAGGACTCTCAAACATCCATTACTTAGGCTGAAAAAAACATGGCAGGTGCCAAGGAACAGACGGCTGGGTCCTTTCGTGAGTTCTCCCTCATACACCCACCGCAGACACGCACACACACTCTTACCTCTCGCAGTTCCAGCCTCTGGGCCACAGCCTCCAGGCACTCTTGCCCTGTGCTTTCCACCGACAGAGTACACTCGATAACATTGCTGTCCAACAGGCGAATCCGGGTGACAAAGCAGTTCTTGCTTAAGACGTTGTAGCGCCGTGTCCGGCGGAGCTTCAGACCAAAAGGCATGGCTAGGTGGCCCGTAGACACCGCCTTCCTCTCCTGGCGTACACGTCCCTGAGACGGCCTTAGCAGTTTTGTGACAGGGTGATTACACTACCACCTGTGCTCCTGCAGGTGTGGAAGGAGGTGTCCATGCCCGAGTGGCCTTCTGGAAGACAGCTGTAAATGGAACAGAAACAGCATGGTCATGCACTAGAAGGCAGCTGTCGGTGATGTGGTCCCTATTACATTGACAGACACACACACACGCACACTTAGGCTCACACACTCCGCTCAGACGGCCATCCAGACTGGAGAAACTGCCTGCTCTGTAGCTCCTAAGTGTCTCAGAGGCAGTCATGCACTGTACCTTATCTTACAAAGGTGAGATGATCAAAGCGACTTTACAGATGTACAAGGAGAGGTTCAAGGCCATTAAACTAACTCATCCACCAAGCACAGTGCAATAGTCAAAGCCATAATTCACACCCACGTCTACGCAACTTCAATCCTCGTGCTTTGTCCACTATACAATCCTGTCTCTGCAAGAAAGCACCCGGAGTAGAATCTGAACAGTGTTTTGTTTTGTTTTAGTATTTTTTTTAACTTCTAAGTATGGGGGGGGGGCGTCTCCCAAAATAGCATAAAAGTATACATCATGAAATAACCATGCAGAGATTTGAAAACTTTTTCACAGAAATAAACATGTACTTTTATTTCATTTTTCCATGAACTTTTTGTATCCTCACATCAACCTCATGAACAACCCTGTGGTGTAAACATCCATAAACCTTTGTTACAGACGAAACCAAATGAGGTTCAGTTATCTAAGTGCTTCGCTGAATTTAAAATTCGATTTGTTCTTTCTCACTCACTGTCACACTGCTGCCTTTTATTAAAAATAGATGTTATTTTTACCTATTACTTTATCTACTTAGAATGGCTAATTTAAATGGTGGGAATACACATTTTCTTTTCTCAATCTTGCCACTGGGCACATGTGCTCATCAGAGAGAAAGAGAAATCACCCCCATGAAGCATGGTCACACTACAATCCCTTTTCCTCTAGTCTCTTGCCTCTTAGGAGCCTGGGCACACACGTACATATCGGATGTGTTTTTCAAACCTCTGGGTTCGAGATGAACTGCATGGTCAGTCATGTGGAATCCAGCTACCTTAACTACCATGCCACTGGCTGATCCAGGAATACACATTTAATAGTCAGCTACTTCCTGCTTTTCAAAAAAAATAATAAAAACCTTAAAATACATAATTCTTCAATGCACTTAAAATCACAACTCTCTGTCCTTTTCTAACAAATATTTAGACAATATGATATGAAGAACTACCCTACCATCATTGTGTCAATTTGCAAAATGCTTGAAGCAAAAACCCTGTCACCAAATTACAAATAATTTATCTTATGAATAAATTATTTGATGTCCCACCAAATGACAATGATGGCATTATTGCCATGGAGAACACAAGAATAAAAGGACAAAAACCAAAGTGACTCTACCATTCCACTCTGAGCCAACAATGCTCTTCCTCGCGGGGTCACTAAACTTAACTCTTTCAAAGAAATCAGAAATGTCCAGAAAGATTTTCTGTCCAAATGTTCTGTTCGCCATGAAGCTCAGAAAACCAGCTCTTGCTCATCTGATTGTTTTGTTACCTTGATTTTCTGACTCTGGCAGATCTTCCAGGCTGAGCACCCGTCCTCCATCTGCCAATATGGAAATATCCCAGAGCCCCATAACGCATGGATGGACAAACAGGAGTACTACTGCATGGAGGAATTCTAAAATTAATGAATAAAATGGCTTCAATATTTATAAACCACTCCCTGCCCACACCACAGGCCTCACGGAGGTTGCCGGGGCATAACCCTGCAATGTAGCAAAACACCCATCCCAGACTCCCCCAGCAGGTCTGATACTTGCCCTTGGCACATTCCTTAACATGACAGGTATATGCTTTATGGTGGTTTTAAATATACATGCTAGAAATGCTGGCTCGGTAAAATGTATTAACATTTCTAAATCACTTTGTGTTGGCAGGGTATCACGTTTACTCCAAGGTAGGCCAACCTGATCTTTTGATATGTACAGAAGAAAAACCTGAAGGGACCAACCCCAAACACCAGGGGGACAGTAAGACAGAAAACGAGCCGAGGATTCAAATACGGAGCCCTGAAGTGTTTACAGCTCACAAATTCCTCTTAACTTATTGAATCACGGGGCAGCAGAGGCCAAGATTCAATTCCTGCGTTAGCCAGGAAGCATGGAACAGAGAAAAATATTTGCTCTGTGGGCACAAGCCACATTTCTAATCCTGTGCCAGGCACTTTACATTTGGGTGTGGCTCCCTTAAGCACCTAGGAAAGAATGTGGCAGGCTTGGTGTGCATTTATCCCAGCAAAAACAATCTCCACTACTTATTCTATGGGGCACCACTCACAAGCATAGCTAGTGAAATAAAAAAGTGAACTGCTGAACATGTATAGGTAATCACTTTTTGTTTTGCTTTTTAATTTGCTAGAAAGTGTGTGCACTCACCAGAGATAGAGACAGAGGTGAAGAGAGGGAAAGTGAGAAAGCACCCCACAGGGGAAATGGCCATGCCACAATCTCTTCTCCTCCCATCTGTTAAACTATCCCAGGGAAACGATCTATTTGAAACTAACATGCAGCTAGGGTTAGAGAAGATCTTTCATCCCTTTCAATTTTAACAGTTTAATAGACTATGGATGGGCTAGCAGGTGATATGGTGGTTAAGATGCTGGACTCCCACATGGAGGACCGCAGTTGGAGTCTTGGACTCAGAGGCTGGGCAATCATGCCAAGCGCATGTGTGTGCATGCCCCCCCAAAATCCAAGGAGTTGAATGGAGGAGAAGGGATTGTTACATGGCCATTACCCCCTTGGGAATGATTTCTCACTTTGCCTTTCACTGTCTCTCTCTGGCCAGCACACACACCCTATGGCAAAAATCAAAACCAACACAAAGTCTACGGATTACCTATCATTTTTATGTTCTCAAAAAACTCATCAAACATGTGTCAAGATTCCACCTTTTCACTATCCATACAGGCATAGAATTCTACCTAAAACATAACTCAGCTCCCTACTGTATTTTATTAATAAACCCAGCAATTTCTTTTTGTCCTTGATAGATCAGGAATTAAAATAGCCCACCATGTTACGGACTTGATGTAAAACCCCCTGGTAGCATCTCCTTCTGTTTATAGTCTGACGCCTGGCACCTTTCTTACCTTCCCCATGTGACTCTCCAGAGCCTTGTCATACTAACTTTATCACACAAATACTATAGAACCTAGGACTAAATGCCATATCCTCATAGAAAGGTCACGTTTACAACACCTTAGATTGTCCTGACGAGAACTGCTTTTCTTTCTTTCTTTTTTTTTTTAAAGAGACATTTTTGCTATCGGGTAAGTCCACTCACCAAAAAGACAGAAAGTGAAAAATTACTCCCCAGGGAGGATGGCCACGCCACAATCCCTTCTCCATTTTCCTCTCGGGACTTTGGGTACACACATCCAGTGTGAGTTTTAAGTTGTCAAGTCTGGGACTTGAACCATGGTCGACTACGTGGGAGTCCAGCAACGTAACCATTATGCCATCTGCTGGTCCTGAGAACTGCTTTTCATAGGAGACAAATTAAGAATCCCATTTTATTCACTATACGTTTCTTATCTTCCTTCCTTTCTTCTTTCCTTCCTTCCTTTCTAGAAGTCTCCTTGAGGGACCAGCAGTTAGCATAATGGCTATGTCGCTGGACTCTCATGTAGTCCACCACGGTTCGAGTCCTGACTGGTGGCTTAAACTCATGCCGGGCGCATGTGCGTGCGTGCCCAAGATCCCAAGAGGAGAGTGGAGAAGGGACTGTGGTGTGGCCAGCCCCCCTGGGAGGTGATTTCTCGCTTTCTGTCTCTCTGTCTCTCTCTGTCTGTCTGGCGAGTGCACACGCCGTATAGCAAAACCCTCTCAAAAAAAAAAAAAAGAAAAAGTCTCCTTGGAAAGTAAAAAGTCAAAGCCAGCATAATGACATGTGTCTACAATCCCAGGTATCCAGGAGTCTGAGGCAGGAGGATTACAAGTTCGAGGCCAGACTGGGTAGCATAGTAAGACCCTGTCTCTTTACAAAACAAAAATGTCAAAGAGTGACCTTAATGGAAACTATGGATTTGGGGGAATAATCATGGATCAGTAGAGGCTCATCAATTGTAATAAATACCCCTCTCTGGAGGGAGATGGTGATAGTGGAGGAGGCTATATATGTGTAGGGTACTGATAGATGGGAATTCTTTTTAACTTCAGCTCTAAAACTGCACTAAATAATAAAGTCGATTTTAAGAAGTCACTTAAAATATACAGTTTCACTCATCTACTGTTTAAGAATATATCTAGTAAACAATATTAAGCAGCAACTGTTGCCAAGACCCATTCATGGAAATTAGAAAAATCTTTAAAATACACACACACACACACACACACACATACACACACAGTATAACTAACAATAACGGCTCTTGATTTTATTTATTTATTTATTTTAGGTTTTCACCATAGGCGTATACACTCACTGGAGAGAGGTAGAGAGGGGGAAAGAAATCACCAGGGCCAGCAAATGGAATGGCCATTATGTCACTGGACTCCCACATGGCAGACGAGTCTGAGATCTGGTGGTTTGAAACTCATGCTGGACGCACGTGCATGTGTGCCCAACATCCCGGGAGGAGAATGGAGGAGAAGGGATTGAAGCATGACCATCCCCTTGGGGGTGTGATTTCTCACTTTCCCTATCAATGTCTCTGTCTTTCTTTGGGGAGTACACATGCTCTAATGCAAAAAATCTCTACAAAAAAAAAAGAGAAAGAAATACACCCTCCAAGGCAGATGGCCATGCCATAATCCCTTCTCTTCCATTCTCAGGATTTGGGGCACACATGCACATGTACCCAACATTATTTACAAGCTTCCAGGTCCAGGGCTTGAACCATAGTGGACCATGTGGAAGTCCAGTGCTTTAACCACCACACCACCTGCTGGACCATGTGGGAATCTAGCACTTTAACAACCACACCACCTGCTGGCCCCAGCTCCTGAATTTTTAAAGACAAACAGTAATTTATTCTAATGCCAAAACAATCTGCT